GTTTGGCTGGCGCGTGTGCGGCTTCTCCGGGAAGCCGTGCGGAGCCGTAAACCCTAAACCCTAATTTAGGGTTTGCGCGCAGAGCTGCGGGAAAAGCTGAAGCAGACGGGGGGCAGGGAGCTCGTTTGGCTAAACACTGGAGATGCTTTCTTTGGGCAAACAAGTCACTCGAGAGGACAAAACCATTTGGGGAGAATTTTAATGGAAATAAGACAAAACATTCTCGAAGACACGGAGCTCGAGTGTAGGGTTTAGGGTTTAGGGTTTAGGGTTTGGGGGTTGGGGTTCAGCGTTTGCGCTGGGGGGCGCGGGCGGCACGGGCGGCCGCGGACGCGCAGCTGCAGGGGCGGGCCTGGGGTCTAGGGTTTAAGGTTTAGGGTTTAGGGTTTAGGGTTTAGGGTTTAGGGTTTGGGGTTTAGGGTTTGGCTGAAGGGCCGCGCGCGGCACGGCTCAACGGGGCGCCGTAGGGCTTAGGGTTTAGGGTTTAGGGTTTGGGGAGTTGGTTGAGGCTTGGCGCGGCGGCGTCTCCCGGCTTGCGCGTCGCGGCGCAAACCCTAAACCCTAAACCCTAAACCCTAGTTTTGGGCGCCGCGCGTGCAGCGTGGCTGGTCATTTGCCACGATATAGAAACAGAAGAAAGGTCTCTTCCAGTTTTGAGACTTTTGGAAAGGAGAGAAGGAGACGCCACCACTGTCGAGATCTTGCTGCGCGGCAAGTCCTTCTACCGCATTGGTGCGTCGAGGGTTTAGGGTTTAGGGTTTAGGGTTTAGGGTTTGGGGTTTAGGGTTTGGGCTTTGGGGTTTGGGGTGGGGGGAGGAAGGAAAAGAAGGGGCAGCCTGTCGCGGTTCGAGAGGGCTAATTCACGGCTGGGTCGAGCGTTTAGGGTTTAGGGCTTAGGGTTTAGGGTTTAGGGTTTAGGTTTTGCTGCGCGCAGGGAAGCTGGCAGACAACGACTTGGTAGCGCTAAACCCTTCTGTCTCCAGGCGCCATGCAGCTTTGGTGGTTTTGAAAGGGGGACATG